GGATTTTTAGCTGTCTAAGACAGAAAAGCTTTGCCGACTCAGCCCTGATTTGAAACAAAACTATAAAGTTTGGTTCCATCAACTTTTTACACCACGTCACCCGGTGAGGAAGGGGTGTATGGTGTACGGCAAGGAGGTTGTTTTATTATGCTCCTTGGTATAGGGGCACAATTTGAGGGTAGATGTTACCCATTTGTATGAGCCTGGTGCAGATGGTCAGGGTGGTGTGGGTGTGAAATCTCTCCAGTGCCCGTGAAAGTCCTCGAGTGGCGCTCCAGCACGGAAACTTCCATGGGTAGCCAGAAGCCATGGAGAGGTGTGAAATGAATTTGACCAGCAATGCCTATCGCCCTGAGGCCCTGATCATAATATTATACGGCCTGGAGAGAAAAGAACATGCTCGGGAGGGGTGGCATGGTTGACTGCATTTATTGCGCGGATGGGTGGGGCTAGGGTGGAAGCAAAGGAGGTGTTCAAACGTTTCTGTTTTTAATAGGTCAAACAGAGGTCTTATGAAATGCAATCACTGTGGCAATGGATGAGTAAGACTGACGCATGCCATTATTAGAGAAGATAGCAATAGCACTCGAGGAGTGTGAAGTTTTTACCACTTTGCAAACTGGACAAGCTAGCATTGATCCCACAGGCTGAAACCTCCCTCCATCTCACTCTAAATTACCCCGGGTGCCCATTACGGCTGGATCGGCTGGATCGGCTGACTCGGTCGCCTAAAGCTGAAAACAAACACGTTTGATTTGGAGGCGACCGAGTCGGGCGATCGGCCAGACCCGCCGATCCCATCCGCAAGGGGCACCCCGTATTATACGTAAAATGAAGGAATTTTCCCCTGCTCCCTTGTGAGTCTGTATAATACGGGGTGCCCACTACGGCTAGAAACAGAAAACAAACGCGTTTGTTTTTGAGGCGATCAAGTCGGGCCGATCGGGCCAATCCAGCCGTAGTGGGCACCCCGTCTTATACAGGTTCGACAGTATTTTTGGAACCACATGTAGGGCATGGAGCATCATCTATTCTATAAATAGTTTATTGGGTAGACATTGGTTTGGAGAGACAGATTGCGTTTGCACTCGACTATAGCATGACTAATGTTTCGATCTTTATTTGTGCGTCCATATCGTGCGTACCTGCGCAGCGAAGTGATTTTTTGTTTTATTTTAGTCTGTTTTTGTTTTGTTAAAAAAAAAAGAAAAGAAAAGAGTGAGGGCTGCGGCCATGGCTGTGTCCGATCTAGGGTATTTTGAATCAACAAGTCTATGGGTTGCAGACAACTGAGAAGACTGATAAGCTTGGGAGCGACACCCACACACACAATAGCACACGCGCGCACACGCACACACACGCACACACACGCACACACGCACACATACACGACACAATAACAAACACACACGCGACATAGCACGGGCCTAGGAACCAGGAAGAAACAAAGAGAACTGACGCACAATCAAGGAGTTTAGACAAAACAAAGTGTGTTATAATATGTTGGTTTGTTGGCTAGAGTAAAACCCTTCAATAGTCAAGATCAAGGGGAATGCTTTGCCAAGACCGCAGCCCTGTCTGAGTAAAAGGGATACAACATCCCAGCAGACTGACCCAGATACCCGATTAAAATTACAACCCAACTCAGGATCGAACTGATCAGTTTTTGTGAATATAACGGTGAAGATCCCAAAGATTGCAGCATAGACGCCAGTTTGTTCAGTCAATAATTATGATTATTGATTAACCTAGTGGTTATATATAGTCTCTCAGATTCACAACCGTAAGGTTGTGGGTTCGAATCCCACCGGGGACCGATGTTGTGTCCTTGGGAAAGGCACTTTACACGAATTTTCCTCATTTCACCCAAGTGGGAATGGATACCCAGCTATAGAAAATGAAAGATCTTGTCA